TGAGCTCTGACTTAACCCCGTTTTAAATACCCAACTCTTTTTTAGCCTCGCTTGACTGCACTTGAGAGAAAAACTAGGTGTGCAAAAAACTTCCTTTTCTAACATGAAACAAAGCTCTTTAGGGATAATTGGTGATCGAAATATCAAAACAGAAGCCTTACAAGTGATTTAACAACAAAAAATGGTAATAAAGCGTTGTTTATTCTGAGGAATCGCGTGCACTCTTTTGTGGCCGAGAGCTGGGCCCACTGGATGATAACTGGGCCCACGAACGAAGCCTCGATTTTCGTTATTACTCGGGAGAAAACAGCGTTGAGCAGTCGATAGCTCTACATGTGTAAACTGAATGCTGAAGCTAGTTATACGTGAAATTTTAAGTCCTTACGGCTATTCCAAAGTAAGAAATACAAGTTTACGTTTTTTGTGGCCGAGAACAGGGCCCCATACTGTACTTGTAAACAATTTCAAGAAATAGTTTTACAAATACAAATATATACGGAATCAGACAAATTCATAATATAATTTTTCCATCTCCAGACAATAGGGATTGGGATCACAACCTTCCATCTTACTTAGCAAACAGCGTCGGAACTGATGAATTGACACTTAATATTATCGCAGATACAAAGACTCACGTGCTAAATATTTTCTTCAATATTTTAATACCTGGGAAGCTTTAAACTGATATATGGACGAAAAATCCACGTAAAAAGAGGGCAGAAAAATGCACCGAATTAAAGATGGTTCAAGTTTGAGGTGGTAGACGAAATATGTTTCGTTATTAGCCATACATCAAAAAATATTTTTCCCTGCAAATGATCTAATGTGGATCAAAGAGAGGGGACATGATTCGCGAGACATAAATCTCGGCAGCAATACCTAAAATCAAGCCCTATTAATCCGGAGAAAACAAAAATAACTTTGCACTAATGTATAACACATACTGGAAGTTAGTTTATTACTACGCGAGAAGAAAAGAAACATAAGATGGCAGAGATATAGCAAAGCTTGAATTACTACTGAATTTCAAGACTTACCATCTTTACGATGGCGGACGAAGAGGAAGCTTGCAGTGCCTCCTGGGAATTTCAAAACATTACCCACAATACACTACGCGCGGTTAAAATGGGAAAAATTCAACATGGCTGACAATGTTTTCGGATAAAATTTACGACGCTGTCGTGCTTTTTCGGAGAACACGAGATCACGGAATATTGTAGGTAAAGTGTATTGAGATTGATCGTTTTGACGGATAATTTGGCAAACATATGGTGGAGAGAGAACGATGAAATCAGTCTTTGTTCGAGTATAATTTTTAAGTTTTAACAAATGCTCTGCTAGGCATCGTTTATCGCTTTTCGATTTTACAGGTGATGTCACAACCAAGCAGGATTTTGCCCCAGAGTAAAGAAACTCTTCTGAAGTCGTACACGAAACGCCTGAAGGATGATGTAAAATCAATCCTGGATAACTTCACAGAAATTGTGAAATCTTCTAAGGTAAGCTTGCACGTGAATGCCTACTATACTGATTCTCTGATTCTCAGTTAACCAAGTCTGTTACTGTGTGTATTGCTCAAAGGTTGAAAATGAAACTCAAGTATCACGGCTAACACAGTCAGCTCAGGATCAGTATGAAGTCAACGTCAGAGCTGCCAACATTGTAAGTTAACCGAGTGTCATAATTTATAGGTCAACATAGACTTGTCATAAGTCATAGTTTAGTGCGGTCAGTGGGCAACAACTTTCACTTAATTAATATAATTGCCTTTACCTTGCTAATCCGGCAGTGGTGGTCAGCAGGGTGCTCAGGTGACACATTTACAGCATAGGTGAATACAAATTACGTAAAAGACAAATTAACAACAGTGGCGGATCTAGGGGAGGGGCCAGGGGACTCAGGCTTCCCCTTATTTTGGTTAAAAAGAAATTGCAGAAGGAAGAAAAACTGGCAGGGCAAGCACCCTCAAGGTCTGGATCCACCAATGAACAAAGAGCAAACGAAACTACTCATGTACGCATATGGCTACTATACTACCATGGCTGGCAAGTGCAGTTTGGATAGCTGCGAATGTGACTTAACCCTCAAGTTGATATACCAGTCAAGAGCCCTTATTATGTAAATAAAATTGAAACCTTTTTTTTCAGGTAAGGGCAGGTGAATCACTGATGAAGCTTGTGTCTGACATGAAGGAGTTTCTCATTTTGAATGACTTTCCATCAGTGAACGCCAGTATCTCTGAACGAAGCAATACATTTCAGGAGATGACCAATCAAACGGATCAGCAGCTTTTAAACCTCAAACAAGAACTTGCTCTCAATTTATTTGAACTTGAACAATCATACTATTCATCTAGTTACAGATAACCTGAATTTGTGAATTATTTACTGGCATGTTACGCTGTTTTGAACTTGTCTTAAGTGCTAGTTTTGGTACTCAGTAATACATACTAGTTATCCAACACTTTTGAGTAGTATACCATGAATATCCCACGAGTCACTTTTATTTTCCTCGTATACACACAAGCCTTTAGTGAGTGTGTATACCAAGAAACTACTAATCACTGACAAGTGGGATATTCCATGGTATACCACAAGAAAGTGTTGCATTACTATTTCATACCATGCCATTGAAAATACTCTGCCAGCTAAATCAACATGACATCATGCAGTCCACAATGAGAGGGCTTGGTGTATTAGTTGTACTGTCAAGTATACAATGGCGTTCTCTTTTAAGTTTCGGTCTCTCAACCTCTCGTTATTTCACAAGTGATTCTGAAGGGTACTTTATGCTCTTTTACGAGGAGGAATCTTAAGTAGAAGCTAGTGGAGTGGAGCCATTCGGTGGTGCTATAGCAATTTTTTTTAGAGGTCAAAGGCATGGTTTCCGGACTTTCCGCTGTTATTTGCATGTCGCTTCGCAGAGTTTGACACCTCTGTCATGTGCCTATAATTTCTTTAGGCTCATTTCAGTATTGCAAAATATGTTTTAAGCTCTTAAAGTACTGGCGTCATAATACAGAGTGCCAGTAAGCAACATGTTCACGGAAGAGAAATATTCCGTGAACATGTTGCTTACTTGCACTCTGTATTATGACGCCTGGCCCGACTATTTGATTAGCTCGATTAGAACTGTTTGCAAGTACCGAAAATGTAGCTTCTTGACAGGTCTAATTACCTCATTGACTGATTTGGTACAGGCTTATCACCAAGGGCAGATAGGCACATCAAAAACAAAGTCTACAGGCTCCCCTTTCCACATCCCGATCACTTTGCTCTCTGAATTCTTCTGTTTCGCGCTCACTGAAAGTTTTTCCGTCCTTGCCGAGAGCCTGTTCGCAGGCTACCTCGAAGTTCATCAAAAATACTCCACTGCGCGTCATATTTTCAAATCTCTTCTCAGTGTTCAAAAATGTGGTCAAACATGATCTTTCTGTTTGATATATTACCTCTGTATTTCTATGCATGATAGTTGGCTGGGGCTGCGCCCTTGTCAACTATCACGCAATGGAAATCTCAAGCTCATCTAATTGTTAAATAGAAACACAAATGAAAGTTTGGGAGAGCAAGAAATGCTGTGGGAACACAAGCTGTCAGGCGAGTGTTTCCACAGCTTTTTCAAGTTCTCCCAAACTTTCATGTGTCAAATAATACGAAAAAAATAAAATATAATTTATAATAATTCATCTCATTATTTCACAACTTCCACACTGCTTGTTTTCCATCTGGCACACAGTCAACTCTTGCATTAACACGGTGGAGGCATGGCAATGCAGGAATAGAAGAATAGAGGCATGGCAATGCAGGAATAGAAGAATAGCTTTATCACAGAAAATGGTATTGGGTGTTTCATCTGTTCATTTTAAAACTTCCTGGTTAATGTATAACTGAAACGAGGAAATATCACTTCTTGTGTATGGTGCTTCACAAGAGAGACGGAAAAGCAATAAATCACAGAAAACACTTAACTTTTTCCATTCTCTTTAATAAATGTGGGGTTAGTAACACAGTAATAGATACTGATAATGATTTATTGAAAACAAATGCAACCCCTAAGAAACTGGTTATAGTAAATGTTGACCTATTAGACAAAACTAAAGAAAAACTCTGAGTTCATGACAGGATTTGAACCTGTGAACTCTCAAATACAGGCTGGTGCTCTAACCGCTGAAGTACATGCATGCAGAGACTTATAGTAAAATAGTCCATTTGATGGGTTCAGAGCAGTTAAGAAATAAAAAGAACTCAGCACAAGGTGCCATCATTCAAACTAAGCTAATGTCATGTTTAAAATATAGACAATCGAATGAGAGCCATCACTTCTTTGTGAAATCAGTTATTTTCCTTAACTTGCTGCTTGTTGGAGACTGTTTGTTATTCTTCCTCTTAGTTGGTGAACTTTTACTTTTGTTGTCAAGGTCTGGGAAAAAAAATAGAAAAGTACTATCTATCAGACACTGTCTTAGTTAATGACATTGATAAGAAAGTGATATCTCTTGAAGGACAGGCAAAAAATAACAAAAAAACTGTCAATACACCACCTGGTGTGTTTGGTTTGTTGTTGATTTTTCTCTTGCTTGCTTTGAGGTTTTTTTTAGGACATTTATTACAAATTATGACAAATTTAAGTCAGGGATTTACAATACTTATTAAAGAGCATACCAGAGAGAGGAGCAGGAACCACTTCATACTTCAAGAATAAGTTACCTTCATCTATACTTTCACCATAATGGTCTGCTCTAGCTTTTTTCATCCGTGTAATGTTGGTCTTCACAACCACTTTGTGATCTACAATTGGACGAGGATAGTCTTTACCAATAACACACCCTGCTGCTTTTTGTACACTTTGTGGGGCAGTCCAAGGCTCGTAGATGTATTTTGGAGGATATTTCTTTAAAACTGGTATATACTTCCTACAAAAGATGACACAAGAAATATCATTAACAGAATTACCTTCAAATAATCAAAGTTTACCAACATATGAGTTATAGATATATAGATGAGGAACATGAAAACACAATGGGATTGTGGCCTGAAATTTAGCTTTGAACTAGAAACAAACTAAGGCAATTTAATTACATTTAATTACAAGACTAAGACCAACTACTGGCAGTCTGTTTTTCTTTTTAAATTAGACAGAGAGTAAGAGGCGAGACATTTGAGACAAGAAGGGATTGACACAAGACTCATGACTCACTCATGTCTTGCCCTAACCCCTTTTTGTCCCCTTTTTCATGTTCACAGATGAACACTTCTCTGACCTTGAGAGAAAAGACCAGCTGCCAACAGCCTAGAAAGTACCTATTAATATTCATTTGACTGTTCTAAATGTGGCTGTCTGCCTGTCAGATATGTTTCTTCACTATTGTGATAGTTTGACCATTGGTAGTGCCCTTGCTCACTCTAAGACTTATTATAAGATTTGAAGAACAACAAGATGGATGTTAAAATGATGGGAAGATCTGATTCCTTTTGTCAAAAACCCAGTAGTTCCCTTTGTTTGCTTCAATATGCCAAGATACACAATCAGTTGGTGGCTGGTCCATGCTCAAGCCTGGATGGGATTGTTGTGCTGTAGTCTTGAGGATGCCACTCTATCTAGCAGTGTCTCACTTTACTCAGGTCTGGTGTATAAATTGCTACTGGCAACTGTTGGGGTAACTTGACAAATGCCTGCATGTCCATCTGGCTCCTCAATACAATCCTTACATGGGAACAGACTTGATGTTGATCCACAGTCAGTAGAATGTGTCCACAGATTGTTTTGATTTCTTGTTTTAGAGCTATGATTCAAGCCATCAGTTTTCAAATTAAACTTACTTGATATAATCTCCATTAGGATCAGTTTTCTTGCCAAATGCTACAGGACTGTATACCCTGAAGTAAGCATGAAAAAAGGCACTTGCAGATAACCACATCCAGTTCCCAGCATTCAAACTCCAGTCATGATCAAGAAGATACTTCTCAAACACCTGCAATAAACCAATGGCGTTACCATCTTTAGGAAGTCTCAAAGCAGACTTTTCCAAATTCTATATGTCTCTACTGTTTTTACCAAAAAAAATTCTTCTGTTGTAGATGCATCTCCCATGATGTTTGATCAGACAACAGTAACCTAGTTTGGGATTGCATCTAGGAGCCAGATAACTCATTTGTGAGGTGGAGATTGCATGAAACATTGTGAAAAAGATGGTGGGTCTTGTGCAGTTAGAACTGAATGTTCTTCACCTTCAGTCCTTCCTCCCAGCTGATCCATAAGTCTCCTCTGGTCAAAAAACATGCTACAGCATGACGTGCCAAATGATGTATCCATCCTTCCCTCCTCAGTTGAGTCATGATGGCATCGATGAAGGGATACCCAGTGCGAGCCTACATGAAAACAAACAAGATGTTGACTCATTGCAGATTTAACAAACATTTGAGTCACATTCCATTCCATACTGTTGCCACTTAACAACAGTTTTGACAAAATTTCTCCCGACCAACAATGGAGCCAATTACTCTCACTGACCAATCTCAGACGTGTGATTCTAAAGTTCACGCAGCCAGCGGTTGATTTCTCACCATAGGCATGTTGTCCATAATTCTTAGATTGTGATTGGCTAAATAAGGTCAATGAATTTATCAGAGGGTTGCAAATCCTTGAGAAAGACACACAGAAAGAGAGAATAAGAACCATGCATCATTTGCTAGTCTGGACCAACAAAGGATGTAATCTATTTACTTCAGGCTGTCATAGTTTGGCTACATGTACAGTACTGCAGTTGTATCAAGATTTTAGTGGCTTATTTGTGCATTTTTCCTTGCTGGCTATCATTCTTAAAAAAAACTATCAGCTTAAAAAAAACTAGCGGCTTAAAAAAAACTATGGCACTAAGGATTCTACTGATACAGTAGACAATAATGCAAACACATGTCAGATCAAAACAATAAATTAGCCACATCTCAAAATGTCAATGTATTTTCCAAGAGTATTCCAAACATATTTAATTTGCTCCTAATTATTTCTAAGTACAACTTTGTAGAAACTTGCCACATGAACATCTTCCATGCATGTCTAATTCTCACCAGTTGTTCAAGTCATAAAAACTATGATTCAAGTAATTCGAGTGGTATGACCTGCACAAGTCATAACATAAGGCTTACAATTGGTATGATTGGTTCAAGTGGTGGATGTGGTACTTTCCGGTGAAATTAAGTCATTCCATTGCAAGTGGTGAAAGTGCATGTCATTAAGCAAGGCACCTTGTCTACTCATACAACTCATGCAACTGGTGAAACTTCATCGCATTCTAGTGGTGCCATAGTTGTCAAGTATTCCCACCATACCTCAGACCAAGCTTTGACAAACTCTGGATTGGTATCCCATGGGACTTGCAGGCAGACAGGGTTACCCTCCATTCTATTGAAGTTGGGAGTTGCATATGCAGCAGTGAAGAAGAATTCTCGCCATAAGAGCTGTCCATGTAGGGAAACAGGAGGACTGGAGTGTTTCTTGGCCTAACAACAGAGGCTTGTCAGAAGTATACACTGGGCATGGTTCTAGTTTCATAGTACAATTGTTACTATTACTAACATGAGGTTACCATGTCTATAATTTCTGTAAGTTCTCTAAGCCTTAGTCTCTTTTCATTAGCATTTTTCCTTTCTTACTTATCTAAAGAATAGCTTAGTAATGGCTTACAAGTGAACCTTTCATTTCTAAAGAAATGCATTCATTTAACTATTGATAATCCTATATATAGTTAACCTAGCTATGAAGATTAATGGAGATACATTGTAAACTCCCAAAAATTCCCAGTACATTGACCAATGGCTCTTTTGCAGTTAACTTTTTTACTTTGCATTACAATGCAATCCAACATGCATGTGAGACTATTTTGGGCAATGTTGTAATTTCTGCTCAAAATTGCCCTGCATCTACATTGGAGAACATTGTAGTGTAAATGAGAAACAAGTTAACCATGAAAGGGCAATTAAAAGCATTCATTTGTAAAATGACCATTTCCTTTTATTTTCTACTAAAAGCCTGACCACAACTTACTCGTGAGTACACTTCAGATAATCTGTGATAAAACAGTCTTGCCGAGAGGCAGCCAAACATGACATATGGACTAAGAACAGTGGTACTAGGTTGAAGGCTGTTGGGTGATGTGTTAGGCTTCTCAAACTTACACACCCAATCCTGTAAGTGCAAGCAAAAACTAATTAACAAATGCCTTTAACAGAAATATGCTGGTCCAAGACAGGTTTCACTAAGGAGATACCTTCATCTGTGTTGCAAGAAAATTTTATTTAAAAAGCAGCAATAGCTTTTATTCTGCTAACCACACATAACTTAAGATCGTTGGAATAAAAAGTGTTATAAAAACCCCAGTTAAACAGTTGTTGACAAACTGTTTCTTAAGGGAAATTTCCAGAATTAGTCAATTAAAATGTTCAATTTACCAAATAACCAATTTGGATAGCTGGAGAAATTTTTGATGGAAAAATTTTGAAAGCTAGCTGCCATTAGGATTAGAGAGATATAAGTTACATTCAGGCCATAAAATGCACACCTCTTTCTCCATGTGTTCATCTAGCCGTCGAAGAGCTTCTGTTTCACCACCAGGAAAAAGGACAGTGCTTGATTCTTCAGGCATTTCAATTCCAAGCTCCTCTAGTGTTGGCAACTTATACTCATTTTCATCATCAACTGGAGTAGAACAACCATCAAACAATTGCTCATCCACAGCAGGAACAGGCTTCAAAGGTGGTCCCATTGACGACACCACAGAGCAAAGCTTCTTGTATGTTAAGGGAGCTGCTCCACCATTTTTTTCAATAACCCTAAAATTTAATTACTTGGGTGTCAATTGCTGTGCTGGTCTAGGGGAGGGTGGTGGATCAAGAGAAGGGGTTTGTGGCATGCCCTTGTGGCAAAACAGCTTTTCAAGACATTTTACCAAAACTATACTAAATTCTGAAACACATTTTAGGAGATATCATATCTAGTCAAAAACATCAACCACTTTTGTTTCCTTTTTTCTACATCATTCAGTTCCAGGTAACTTGGATAAATTACTCCTGTCCTCTCTTTTGTTGCCTTACAGAGACTTGTAACCTACTTCACTCCTATGTTTTCCTCCGCCTCCTTACCTATTAGCTGGCTTACTGAGAATCAGATTTTCAAATTTCTAAGGTTGTCACTTACTTATCCAAGTCATAAAGTGAGTGACAAACTCTAGTCTCAACTTCAATCCCAGCTTCAGAAGCAAGTTCACAAATCTTTGAATCCCGTTGTCTTCCATCTGGCTCATGATCAACCTCAAATGTCAATCTTGTGATCCTCCATGCTTTGAACAGTCTCGGCAACTCTAACTCAGGCTTCCCTTGAATAACAAATAATCTATGATAAAGAAGATTGCATTATTTAACAAATTGATAGCAGTTCCTAGTAGTTTGAAAAATGGCTAAAGAGGGACTTTATGCTTTTTATTCACTGTTGATTTATTCCAGGTCTGTCCTGCAAGGAGGTGGGAGAGCAAGGCTAGGGTTAGGTGGGTGGAATACTTCCCTATAAGCTGTATTATAGTGGACCTCCGGCGGCCCAAAGGGCCGCCAAGCAGAGCCCCATATTCATATAGGAAAGAAAAGGAAACCCATGAGTTGATTTTCTCATGGTTATCATGGATAGTGGTATTGCTTGTGGGTGCGTACGCACAATGACGGCAACGACAGCGACGGTGATGACGGAGTCGTGCAACATGGCGGCCACACTCCAAATAATAGGTTGACAGTCTTGGTTTATCATGCACTTCTTTGATATTGGACATCCATGTTACGATCAATTGACACCTGTCAAAACAAGGTATCTGCTGACCAGTATCACATGACCATATCGCAGGCTAAAGTTTACAGCTCATCAAGATCACGTGTTTTTTTGAAGTTGACTGCTGACCAAGTGCTGGTTTTTGATTGGATTGCGGGCTCATGTCAGGTTAACTTGTTGAAAACAGGGCAGGATTGTTGGGAAGTGGGTTAACGCTAACCCAGGATTAAAAGTTAACGGAATTATAAGTATTTCTTCTGTACAAATTTTTTTTGCTCCTTTGTTTTGTGTATATGGTGATTATTAAAACTCAAAACAGAAGGCCAAACAATATACAGAAAACCTCACTGCAAAGTTACAAAACTCAAATCAAAATTCTACCTTTTCCTGGGTTAGTTTAATCGGGCTATGAACAACCCGGCCCAGGAGCTATGCTTTTAGGCTGACCTAAATGTATATATTATAAATGGGTTATTGACCAAGTGTGAGGTCAAGATGGCTGGATATTGGCCAAGTTCTTTTTTTGCGTGTTTATGGACCGAGACGGAGTCGAGGTCCATAAA